TGTGTGTGTGTGTGTGTGTGTGTGTGTGTGTGTGTGTGTGTGTGTGTTTAGGTGGACATTAAGAACCAGGGAAAGACGGCTCTGCAGGTCGCAGCTCATCAGGGTCATGTAGAGGTGGTGAAGGTCCTGCTACAGGCTAACAGTAGCATTGAAGCTAAAGATGAGGACGGAGACGCGGCGCTGCACTACACGGCCTTCGGGTGAGTATTAACACAGTATGGAGATGCATAACACACTTTTCGGATTTGCGTGTTTCTTCGCTGCAGAAATCGTTATAGTTCGTAAGCTTAGAGTGCAGTGAATGGGAGAGTACAACAAATATACTGTTTGCACTCAAACAATAGGAGAAAAACTCCACGATAGTGTTTACACGACTGTCAGACAATGAAAATAACAGTGTCAGAATGATAATGGCTTACACTCACCGGCCACTTTATTAGGTACACCTGTCCAACTGCTCGTTAACGCAAATGTCTACTCAGCCAATCACATGGCAGCAGCTCACTGCATTTCGGCATGTAGACATGGTAAAGAGGATCTGCTGCAGTTCAAACTGAGCATCAGAATGGGGAAGAAAGGGGATTTAAGAGACTCTGATCGTGGCATGGTTGTTGCTGCCAGACAGGCTGCTCTGAGTATTTCAGAAACTGCTGATCTACTGGGATTTTCACGCACAACCATCTCTAGGGTTTACAGAGAATGCTCAGACAAAGAGGACATATCCAGTGAGCGGCAGTTCTGTGGGCGCAAATGCCTTGTTGATGAGGCCAGAGGAGAATGGCCAGACTGGTTCCAGCTGATAGAAAGGCAACAGTAACTCAAATAAGCACTCGCTACAACCGAGCTCTGCAGAAGAGCATCTCTGAACACACAACACGGCCAACCTTGAGGCGGATGGGCTACAGCAGCAGAAGAGCACACCGGGTGCCGCTCCTGTCAGCTAAGAACAGGAAACTGAGGCTACAATTCACACAGACTCACCAAAACTGGACAATAGAAGATTGGAGAAACGTTGCTGCTCTGATGAGTCTCCATTTCTGCTGACACATTCGGATGTTCGGCTCACAATTTGGCCTCAACAACATGAAAGCATGGATCATCCTGCCTTGTATCAGCGGTTCAGGCTGGTGGTGGTGGTGTAATGGTGTGGGGGAGATTCTCTTTGGGTCCATTAGTACCAATTGAGCATCAACGCCACAGCCTACCTGAGTATTGCTGCTGACCATGTCCATCCCTTTATGAGCACAGTGTCTCCATCTTCTGATGGCTACTTCCAGCAGGATAACGCAGCATGTCATAAAGCTCAATCATCTCAGACTGCTAAACGTGACGATGAGTTCACTGTACTCAAATGGCCTTCACAGTCAGCAGAGCTCAATCCAATAGAGCAGCTTTGGGATGTGGTGGAACGGGAGATTGGCATCATGGATGTGCAGCCGACAAATCTGCAGCAACTGTGTGATGCTATCATGACAATATGGAGCAAAATCTCTGAGGAATATTTCCAGTAGCTTGTTCAATCTCTGACATGAAGGATTAAGGCAGTTCTGAAGGCAAAAGGGGTCCGATACGGTACTAGTCAGGTGTACCTAATAAAGTGGCCGGTGTATAACATCCAGTGTTTGAATACTGCGCAGGTTAGTGTATCCTCCATCAGCTGTTTTTGTTTCTGTTTTGACTGTTTATTCTGAGATAACAACCGTCTGGATCTACTTTATCCGTGGAATGTCATGACTGACCAATCAGAATCAAGTATTGCAGACAGCCGTGTAATAACACTGAATAAAGCACATTATCAGCATCTGAAAGGATTGTGCTCGCTTCACATGGCAGAAAATAGAACAGAACAGTTTCAGAATAGGGAATTGTTTAGTTTTAAAATGGTAAAGACGCTTTTTATGGCATCACAGTGTCTAATTCCAGCGTAATCTATTATATAAAGGATTAAATAGCAGCGTCACGTCTGTCTTTCTCAGAAAACACCTCACGCCGAGGCTTAATGCCCGCAAACACACTTCTGTTCTCAGAGATTTCCTCTCCTGAAGTCTGTCGGCTGGTAAAATAGTCCTGGTTATTTCGTCTCGGGTCATGTGATGTGTGTGCGGCTGTGAATGAGTGTGTCTAAACATCAGTCTGTAGTTGAGGTCAGCTCTAATAAGTGTGGATCTGAAGCTGTTGTTGTGTTTATTTAATATAAAGAACTCTTATTCAGTTGTGTTGGAGTGTGTTGTGATGATTTATAAAGATGTTCAGGCAGATGTAATGTGAGAGTGAGTGTTCCCTGAATTCAGCTCATTTCATTCATCAACTCATGTTTGGGGTTTTGTTTATTATTAAAACACACATTTAAATCTGAACGCTTCCGCCAACGCCACTTTAAAATCAGTACACTGTGTGTGTGTGTGTGTGTGTGTGTGTGTGTGTGTGTATTTGTCTGTTGTTTTCTTGTGAATGTGTGTTTGTCCTTGTGTGTGCCCATGTTTGTTTTGTGTGTGTGTTTTTTGTGTATATGTGTGTTTGTGTGTGTATGTGTGTGTGTGTTTTGTTTCTGTGTATATGTGTTTGTGCATGTGTGTGTATGTGTTTCTGTGTTTGGATGTGTGTGTGTGTGTGTGTGTGTGTGTGTGTGTGTGTTTGTTTGGGTCTCGCTGTATGTGTGTGTGTGTTTGTCTGTTTTTTTCTGTGTATATGTGTGTCTCTGTGTGTGTGTATGTGTGTGTGTGTGTGCATTTGTCTGTTGTTTTCTTGTGTATGTGTGTTTGTCCATGTGTGTGACCATGTTTGTTTTGTGTGTGTGTTTTGTGTATATGTGTGTTTCTGTGTGTGTGTGTGTGTGTGTGTTTTGTTTCTGTGTATATGTGTTTGTGCATGTGTGTGTGTCTGAGTGTGTGTGTGTTTCTGTGTTTGGCTGTATGTGTGTGTGTTTTTGTCTGTTTTTTTCTGTGTATGTGTGTCTCTGTGTGTGTGTTTATGTGTGTGTTTGTTTGTTTGTGTCTTGCTGTATGTGTGTGTGTGTGTTTGTCTGTTTTTTGTGTATATGTGTGTCTCTCTGTGTGTGTGTGTGTGTGTTTGTCTGTTTTTTTCTTTGTATATATGTGTCTCTGTGTGTGTGTGTGT